GGATCGCCGATTCGTCGATCCGGATCGGTTTTTTAGAAGGCCGATCGGGGTCATCGATCCGTTTTTTAAACCATTGGTTGGGACTTTTCATTTCGGCTCTTCCCTTATCATAAGATTTGCTTTATTTACAGTGATTTAAGATGTGTTTAAGACTGTAAATCCCTCACAAACCAGAACAAATGCATGAACAGTAAGGTAAAGAGTTTTTCAGATTGGGTCTAGATCGACCCCGATATCGATCCAAAGGATCAAGATCTAGATGTGGATCCAATCGGATCGAAAATGTTCGGATCCGAATTTGGATCTAAAAACTACACATAAGATCCGAATTCGAACTTGAATCTGAATCCAGATCCTAATCTGATTAGTTCCACAATCCGATCCAAAATCAGGATTAAGTCTTTAAAAGTTAAAAATATTATATATATATATAAATTAAAAAATATATAACTTATATATAAAATAATATATATTATTTTAATAATTGAGTTGGATTCGAATCAAATCCACCTATACCCATATTTGATCCGATCAGTAATTCGGATTCATATTTTAGATCTACATTCGAATTTTGGATCCAAATCTTGACTCCATACCCAGATCCAAAATTTGGGTTTTGGATCCGAAATGGGTAAATTCTCAAGGCTAAACTGAGGAGGCCCAAACAGCAAGTACTTATACTTAGGTCATTACACATGGAAAAGAAAATGGTGCACAATCAAATTGATGGTCATAGAGATAAGGTCCAAGGAAATCGATTGTGATTATTGATGGGCCCACACAAAACATGAGAGGCCCCCTGATGTGCAAATGTTGTCTATCATTCATCATTATTGTCATGATTGTGTATCATTTCATAATGAACATTGATGATCCAAGGACTATGGTTGTCCTACTCCAATAGCGATTAAGACTAAAGTAGAATAAAGGTCTGTAATATTCTTCTATAGAAATGGGGCATATCTGGTGATCCACAATGTTCAATGACCAAATTGGAATATAAATCTTTCCATCATTGACAATTTTACCTCACTTTTTGGTCAAAGATCTTCCAACTAAATAGATAAAAAGATTTTAGAGAACGTACACATTTATCTTTCTGGAGCATAGTTTGCTTCAACTCCCTCCGTCAAAAAACATACTTAGGAGGATTTTTTCTATCTAAAATTTTGAGGTACGAGAGCGCTTCATCTTTTTCATGGAGTCGAACGACTGAAGGAGCACAAGAGAAAAATGGGTGACTTGAATTTAGAACCATAGGAAAAGCCAAAAGCCTTCTTTGCTTATGAGCCAGACCTAGCTTCTGCATGGACTATGGATCTAGCCTCTATGAATTAGGTTCCATCCTTAAAATTTGGGGTCCTAAAATCGATTCCAAATGGGACTTTACCTAATGGAATAAATGGATATTCTTCTCCTGTGGGAGTGGAATATCTTATGAGAGTACTTTTATATGAAAATGAATATTCTTGATTCCCAATTCTCTCTCTTTCAAGCAAAGTAGAAGGCATCTCTGCACCTTGAACAGGTCCTTCATGATTGCATTCTTCTTTGGTCTTCCCACACTCTAAAATATTAAGTACAAAATTCATAGATGCTCTAACTTTTCATTCCATTATCCATCCACAAAGACATTTAATAAACTTATGTCTCCACAAAATCTTGTGGCGGCCA